CAACAAATCAGAAATCAGTTATGTGGTTTGTCATAGGCATAGGGACCAATCAAAAGACTTGTTGCTGGGGTTTAATATGTGAATAATAGTAAAAACAACACAGACTTGTTTTGTCTTACCAGCTCTGCTTAAGAGCAGTTTCTATCTGCTACACTCTGTGGACACGCCATGATGAATAATACATTTGTCACGTACCTCAAGACTTTATTTGAAACACCTTAAGAAGTTTAATAAATCCAATAAAACTCTATCAGATGTCATCAGAGGTTCAAAATGTCACTACCCCAACAGAAGATGAAATTTTTCATCTTTTTAGTCTGTGGGTTAGGGTAGGTCACCATGCACACCCCACTACTGAACGTTTCTGGTATTTTCATGTACTCTAGGATCCACTCTTTCAAAAAAGCATGTTAACAGAAAAACATTTGGGTCTCACTGCCCCCCAGGGACCACTTTTTGACCACACCCCTTTCCCATTGTGACCATCAAAGTTAGGTACATAAAGGAAACTTAACTGCCAATAACTTTGCTATAAACCAACCAAATTTTACAAACTAGGTATCAGCAGATTCATATCGATTAGGTCTTTGATTTAAATTACATTTCATTAAACAAATGTGCAAATCATCAGAGGGTCAAAATGTCACAACCCCAACAGAAGATGAAAATTTTCATATTTTATCTGAGTTTAACACACAGATCATAAATATTCAACTTTCTTAGCCTTTTCATGCACCTTAGGATATACATATTCAGAAAAAAGTCTGTTAACAAAATAAAAGTTGTAGGTAGGGGAGACCGGGGACAGAAGCAACAAGGGACGGTTGCAACACGTCATTTTTCTCCAAACAGAAATAAGCTAGAGTGATGACACTCACACTGTACCTGCTCAGTTAGATGACCGACCTTGCAAAGAACAAGTAAGCAGATTCAAAAACTGCTCCAGGATTTATTTGAAAAAAAAAAACTAAAACAAAACAAAACAAAAAACAAACAAACAGTTTTTGCAGTAAATTCCTTTGCAGACGAGAGACGAAACGTTTCACTAAAGAACCCATCCAGAGGACCTACTTACTTTATCTTTTTGGTCTTTCAGTGTTATTAATCAACATTATTGTTAACAACTGAAGGTGAAAAATTTCACTCATTTTGTTCATGTGTGTCATAGGTGACAATATATTGACAATATATAAACCCAAATACGGCTGTGGGATGTCAATGATTTATGCTGATTTTTATTATTTTTATTATTTATGCTAATGATAAAGCTTAAGAGAGCAACATGGCATTATGTGACTCATCTGCTGAAGAATGTTCATGGGTTGTACTGGGTTATTTTAGTGCTTTAGAATTAGCTTTTGCTAAATTTTCTGTGTGTTAGTGCTTTAGACTTAGGGAACCTAAATATTTGAGAAAGTGCTTTAGGGCTAGTGGAACTAATTTTTAGATTAGTGCTGCCCACCACTGTGCAAATGTATTTTCTCCTGCATATGGGATCATTTCTGTCTTTTCCTCAGCTGCTGGAAAAGGAAAACTCTGACTTGAAGTGTCCAAAAATGTTGAACAGGTATAGCTGCAGTCCAGCTGGCTGAATAGAGTCTCCACTGACAACTTAATAGGCCTAACTCTTCCGAGGGTGAGAGTGCACATGCAGATGAGAAAACGATAGCAGGTTATAGGGAAAGATATATGAGAGGAGAGAGACTGAGGCAAGGAACTGTCATGGCGCAAATGTTTAAGATGCAACTCTGGAGACAAATTGTTTCCAAGGTCATCCGGGTAAGAGAATTCCTGCAGGCCTTGGCGACATTTTTATGAGACTGTCCTTTTTTAGTGGATCCCTTCACCTTATTATCATGAATGTTCAAGCTGTTTATTTACTACCGTATTATGCAAACCAGAACTAACAAAATAAGTTGTCTGCAATGTTTGATTGGACAGTTTGTGCTTGTTTTGTTCTCCAAATAATTTTAACAACAGTAGTTGCATTTATCATAGATGCTAATTTGTTTTACAGTAATTTTTTTCTTCATCAGTTTCCACTTTAATTCAAAAAGCAACAGTTTGTTTATTATAGGGAATGTCAGTCTCACAGCAGCTTATCCCGGGATGCAGCTTTGTTTGCTTTCTGAAAGCTTTTTAATGTTGTTACTGTTATAATATGAGTCTGTCTCTGCTGCCCTCTGCATCTGTGTAATACAAATGACTAAAAACAGTGTGTGTGTGTTTGTGTGCATTCTTGTGGTTGAAATACACTGCTGATGGTTAGTGCAATAGTGTATTTCTTTCAGTGTTGTCATTGTTTTGTCAATTAAATCATCTGTACTGTGACGCATTCTGTATGAACATATTGTTGGCTTGTTTACAGTAGCAGATTTAACCTCTACAAAGGACTTTATGGTTTGTTTACTTTGTTACGCTCACATTACTCAGCTGCAGTATCAGAAACAACAATCTGATCATGGGATGAGTTTATTTCAGATAATTTAGTGTTAATTTTTATTTTAAGAGTTTGAGGCATTAAATAATCAACATTAGTTGTTTGCATGTACACTATGGTTGCATGTTACAGCATCTTCACCTTAAATGCCAGTTAATTTATTATCCTTATCTGTACATTTTGTTTAGCAAAAGTTAAAGGAGGAGCGTGAAGCTAAGCGAGACCAGCTGGATGGAAGGCATGACTACATCCTCAGTATTTTGGCCTCTTGTCTTGGACAGGAGAAGGCTGATATGGAAGATGCCATCCTGGAGGGAAATCAGGTAAGTCTTGACACATGGCTAAGTTTGTGTTAGAAAATTACAGCTGCCTTAAAGTCTCAAAGTGGGCAGTGGCCGTTGCACAATGGTGAAATGTCACAACAAACTTACAGATATAGGACACTTGTAGTTCATGTAAATATTCTCTATTTTAAGGTTTTAAAAATATAAACATCTCATTGTTTAGGTAATCACATTTTCTACCAGTTCAGCTGGAAAGTTTGCTTATTCATTGATTTGATTTATTGATTTAACAGGAAAAGATTATTAAAAATCAAGCCTGACTCAGCATAATTGC